GAAACAAAAGTGTGCAGTGACAGTCTGATATCTTCCTTGGCCCGAATATAAATTGGTCCTTGACCAGACACATGCTTTAACAGCCTTCCATCGCATTTTTGACACCATCAGTTTCAAGGGAAATCAGCTTGCTATGCACAGCTCTCATAAATTCGAATTTGGGAGACTTACTTGTATTCAAAAATTTCTCTGCAAACTTGCCTTCTAAAAGAGTTCTTATTCCCTCCTCGTCTTGTGAGGGGTCCAACTCAAACGTAGCAAAAAATCCAGAAAAAATTTTCTCCTCTTTCCGTCCACGTGGTACTTTAGTCTGTTTTCAATATGGTATCAAAACAACATCCTTAAGAGTCGTACGAGATTCATGAGTACAAAGAGTACTTTGTACTTCAGAGTACAAAGTTTTTTTTATCAATGTTCCACTTATATCAAATTTAAGTGGAACATTAGGGACCTATTTCCTATTTCAAATTCCGAGGTTCAAAACATCAACGGGCCAATGCACATTTTCATACAGGGCAGTCAAATTGTGGAACAATTTAGACAAAGATGTGAAAGATTCCAAGTCTCTTGATTCTTTTAAGAAAGCTTTAAAAGATCTTTTGTAGTTCTATCTTGTAATATTACTTTTATCTTTAAAAATCCTTTTAATAATAATCTTTTTTACATACATTTATAAGACAAATATGTATTGTATTTAATTTTGTAAATAGTTACTGAAAAGCCCTATAGGGAGTACCTATTGTTAGTCATTAAAGTCATTAAAGTCATTATATTAAAGATTCCATTGTTTTTATTTTTCTTTTGATAATGATACTCATGGTTGATAATGGTACTTGCTCTACACAGTATCTATCTTCATTCCAATAGTAGCAGCAGCTATCCAGTTCCAGTGCAAGACCCCTCATATGTCATAAAGTAATCAGCCAATTAGTCTCGTATAGAAGTGGCATCTATATCATTTTCAGCCACTTCATCTTCAACTCTAATTGGTTGGGGGGACATGACTTTTGCTTGCTCTGTCTCATGAAACCATTCGTCAAGAACTTTTTCTTGATTGATTTCACAAATATTATTAAGAATGCATGATGCAGCAACTACTGTTATTAATGTTTTCACTTTCATATCAATTCTTTTCAATAGTCTTCGAAACCTCCCCTTCCACCATCCAAATGTATTTTCTACAGTAACTCTGGCTCTGCTTAACTTGTAATTGAATTTTTTTTGTTTACCAGTTGTGTTAGCATTTTGTGGGTATAGCTTCAAAAGCCATGACAACAATGGGTAGGCAGAGTCTCCAAGAAGAACAATTAATATTGCATTGTTACCAACATTAAGAGTAGTGCTGGCAGGACCAAGCTTTTTTCCCTCACCCAATCTAAATATATTTCAGTTACTTAGTATTCTAGCATCGTGAACACTCCCAGGCCATCCCAATACTATATCACGAAAAAGGTAGTTGACATCAACAACAGCTTGCTTAACAATGCTATGATATCCCTTCCTGTTTATGTAATCTGCATGATTTTCCAGTGGTGCAATAGTCGGAATATAAGTTCCATCTATTGCTCCCCAACAAGCTGGAAACCCCCATTTAGCTTTATAGGTATCTGTAATTTCTTGCAGTTCATGAAAAGTAGAAAGGGAAATTAGTCTTGATTGAAGCTTGGATACAATTGCCTTGCACACATCATTCACACAAGCGCACACAAAGGACCAAGACACTCCGAAGAGGTTACCAATACTTCGGGACTCTGCTGTTGAGGCTAAATGGTATATTGTTATGGCGACACGTCGATGTACTGACACAGCTTTGCGAAGGATTGTTGTTTGGCGTTTGATGTCGAATTCAACGGCTGAAACAATAAACAGAAAAGTTTTCTTGCTTATTCGAAAATTTTCATACCACTCAGCTTCTGTAAAGCTTTCATTTGCAAGACGAAACCATGCATCAGTTCGGTACGACACCACAGAGAACGTTCCCTCGGAATGTTTGATATAGCAAACAGAAATATTAAATACTCTCTGTTTCTAGCAATATGAGTAATAAGTCTTCCAATATCGTCGTTTTTTCTTGTAGATGCTTTTGTCACTTTCCGTTGCATTGATGTATACTTAAATCTATTTTTTCGCTTAAGAAACATAAATAGCCACTTCATTCTCTCTAGTTGCATTACAGGCGCCATATTGAAATATATACAAACTAGCAGTGCTTTTTATTATTTTCTCTTGTTTTTTTTTATCAGTGTGAACATCGGACGCCGTTCCAGAAAACAACGGTACCCGTGCCAATTTTTTTTGCTGTGCTGTGCCCAAAAATTTGTAGTGTAAACGGGGCTATAAAGACTGGATAACACATCTTAATACTGCTGCCTAGAAAATTTTGAAGCCAACTTTTCTCAGCGGCGGCCATATTGGAATGTCCATTTTCAGTGTATATTTTATAGTAAATTTGTTTCGTATTATCTTTTATTATGATATTTGAAAAACGTAAGAAGATTTCCAATTGAAATTTAAAGAACTCGGTCGAACGATTTGAAAATCGCATATTTCTTCGAATAAGGAGTGGATTAGTGGTGTTCTGTGAGCTACCTCATTGATTTACAGTGATCTGGTGAAATGAATAGTTCTTTTCTAACAAGTAAAGGATGTTTTCAATTCAAGACGTTTTTGGATTCTTGATAGATAATACATTTACATCACAGGTATGAGCTAAATTGAATTTCGAAAGATTAAAATGCCCATTTCATTGCAATTTTTATTATGCATATTGGCTTTTAATAATGTAAAAATACGCTATTTTATTATTTTGTTTGAACGTGTAGTATATAAAACAAAACTATATGATTTTATATTACGGTTCTTGGACTTGGGCATCGTCAGAAATTTTTTTTGTTTTATCAAGGTCTATAAACAATTAATACTTACAATAAATACTTCAGGACCACAGATGGCTGTAAGTTTATACTAAAGACTTTAAGCATTTATAAAAAATTCTTGAAAGTCCTCTGAAACATAATAATCTTTCTGTTTTGTGAGCTAAATAAATGCATAAAAGTTTTATGATTGTTATTGAGTTTTAAAAAGTCTACAGACTTTATTTAAAGTTTGCTTGTATGGAATGTCTTCTTAAGCCTGTGACACACGACGTGGTCTCTGAGACTTTTGTTTCGGAGACCTGGTCTCCGACACAAAGTTTCGCAATGTGTCATCTAGGTTTCGGACACTTTTTGTTTCGGAGATTTTTTGAGATTAGGTCTCCGAAATAGAAACGTGTTCTAATTCCAGAGACAAGTCTCCGAGACAAAAAACTTTCGGCCAATTAAATATCACAATTAAAGTCACGTGGTATGAGACAGAAAAACAAGATGGCGGTCGAATGGACAAGGGATAAAGTTGAACGTTTGGCAGAGTTGTGGGAGGCTAAACCAGTATTGTATAATACAACGCTCCCTGACTATCATGATAGAGTGGCTAGGAGGAATGCAATTGCGGAGATAGCGAATGCTTTAGAAATGAGTGGTGAGTAAGCATTTTTTACTGAATTCAGATTGATAAGTATACCGAATCCCATTACGTTGTAATACTTATGAAGTAAATATTTATGTGCATTTAAATGACGATAATAAAGAATAGGGCTGATTTCTATTGTTATAAACGATTTTCCAACTATTGCAGAATGACAATTTATTTCAACATGTTTCAGGCTTTCAGCAGTCAGCCACTGTTTTATTACATTCAGTTTTTCAGCCTGTTTGAACGGGAAAATATGTCTCATGTTATTTCCGCTTTATAGCAATGGATTTTTTTTTATTGCAAAATCAAAAACCTTAGAAGTCAGTTCTGCAAAGAAATTGCCAAAGGCACCAAACCCAAAAGTGGTTCTGCCACAGATGATGTCACACCAAAGTCCAAATGGCAATATTTGACACTGCTTTTGTTTTTAAAAGATCATGTGGAATGTAGATCATCTCGCTCCAATCTTGATAAAGAATGTTGTCTTGTTTGAGAACTTAGTTTGAGCTAATGCAACATGTATGTTTAGGGTTTACTTTGAAGTAATTTATTTTTCTCTTTTATATAGGAGAGATCAAGTAAAAATAGCAACACTAGCAACTCTACTTTTCTTGAAGAAGAGCAAGAACAAAAAGATGATAACAATGAACTAGATCAAAATGTTTCAACCACATCTTCCACAAAGCCCAATTAATGTCTCAGACAAGGAATCAAGAGCTACAAAAGCACAAAAAAGAGATATTGAAGAAAGAGGAATTTTGAAAAAAGCTGGAGATCTCCTAGAAATTATTGCATCAGGGAAAAAATCAAGCTTGAGTTCAGTCCATGTTTCTTCTGCTGATGAAAGTACTGATGATTTGTTTGGAAGGTATATTGCATCTGAAATTAAATGTATTGAAAATGATTCAGCAAAAAGGTTGGCTAAAGTACGAATACAGAATATTTTGTTTGAAGCACAGTCAACTTCAGTTTGTACAACTTTCTCCACTACAAGTCCAGTACCCTATTCCAGTTCTCACTACAGTCACAGCCCATGCTCATCTGTACAATCAGGCACTAGTGACAGTCCTAGTCCTACATCTTATCAGCCTTTGACTAATCAATTGGTATTTGATCAGATGGCTGAAAAGACTTACCAAACTCTTTAGAACAAGAACAAGAACAAAAATAAATATAAATAGTTGTTTGCTTTTTATTTTATACAAAAACTAGTTGATAACAAAAGTTGGTGACACAGAAGGTAAAAAAACATGCTTTTAGTAAATTTACATGGGTGTTGTGCTTGACAATCTTTCATTTTTTGTCTATAATATCATGCAATACTTTGTACCATTTTGGTCTAAATAATCAAATATTACTAACCCAAGATCAAGCTTTGTTTATATTTTGCTCATGTTTGTTTATATTTTGCTCATGTTTGCTTATATTTTGCTCATTTGCCAAGGAACTGATCCTGCATCTGAACTAAAGTAGTTGCAGATGTGTTCTCAAACAGATTGGGCTGTAGATGTTGATCTGTTACTTCCTTGCTGTCCAAAAGAAGTCATCCCACTTGCAATAGGTTGACTTCTCCATTCACCTTCAATCACATCATGGGTAAAATGATCCTCTCTATCCATCATAAACTGTGGAGTGTAAATGTTCCATCCTTCATTTCTGGCTCGCAAAAAGTTGTGCAAGGAGCAACAAGCTAAAACTACCGTTTCAACTGAATCAGGTTGTAGGGCTATTGGTGTCATGAATACCCTAAATCTATTTGCTAATATGCCAAAAGCATTTTCTACTATTCTGCGAGCTCGGCTTAACCTGTAATTGAATATGCGTTCTTTCATTGTCATGCTGCGTTGACCATATGGTTTCATCAAATAAGGTTTGAGTGGAAAAGCATCATCTGCCACAATTACATATGGGATTTGAGTTACATCACCTGGCAAGGATGTCGGACTTGGCAGGTTTAGGCTGTTTGTTTCCAGTGCATTGCTTAGTGATGATTCTCTGAACACTCCACCATCAGATACTCTACCATTTTTACCAATGTCAATATACAGAAATTTGTAGTCAGCATCAACCAATGCTAGAAGTACAATACTAAAGTTGTTTTTATAGTTAAAATAAAAGGAACCACTATTGTTGGGTGCCTTCAATAATATGTGCTTCCCATCCAAAGCACCCACACAGTTAGGGAAGTTCCATCTCTCTGAAAAGGCTTGTTTTACTTTCCTCCAATCCTCTTCAGTTGTTGGAACCTACATGTAAAACAATTAGAATACTGCTTTACTGCAACTAACAAGTATTTGCATTGCCAATTAAATTAGCGAGGATAATGTTAATATATGTATTTTTTGGAGGAAACAATTACCTTAATGTAATCCTTGAAGACTTCTGATAAAGCATCACATGTTTCTGGAATTATTTGGCCCATAGTTTTTCTAGCTATCCTGTACAAGAATTGTAAGCTGCTGTACGATTCACCTAGAGAAACACAATGAATGTCTCGCTTCTATTCAAACAACGTCATTACATGTTTAGCCTAAAGTCCACAAATGTCCCCACGCTCACTTTTCATCGATACTGATACATAAGTTAGCAATTACAAACCTGTTGCTAAGAAACGTAGGGTTACTGCCAAACGTTCACCTGCTGGAATAGAACGTCTCATGTTTGTATCTTTTTTTGTTATTAATGGCGTAATCAAGCTTTCTAGGACACCAAACGATTCTGGATCCATTCGTAGAAATTTTTTGTATCCATTCGAATCTGACAAGCGCAATTCTTTCACTAAATGCTGGTATGCCCCATACTGCTGTCTTTTTTTCATCCATTCTCTTATCCAAACAGTTCTTTTTTTCTGTCTTCTGCGTCGTTGTTTAATTGCTATGTATAAAACAATGGCAACACAAGTAGCAGCGGTCAGGTCGTCTCCCGCCATATTTCAAAAACAAACAAAATGACTCCGCAAAGTTTCAGAAACATTTAGTTCATTTGTCATGTTAAGTTTCTGAAAGTTTTGTATCGGAGACCATGTCTCGGAAACAAAAGTCTCGGAGACCACGTCGTGTGTCACAGGCTGTAAGATGCCTGTTCTTTCTGCTTGTAGAGATAGCATATCAGATGAATCTTTGAAAGATCACAACCATGTTTTTTAGAAACCTTTTCTTCTTCCTAATTTTCAATGTTAGTTTTCAGTCAATGTACACAAAGATTCATAGCAACTCTGGAAGGGTGAACTTATATTCAAAGCCTTTTTTCAAACTGTATTTTAGCAAAATTGAACATGATGATGGCGCAAAGTCACAAAATGAAAAACAGCATGTTGATGCACAGACAGTAAATGGAACTATTGAGAACTTCAGATAAATTTCTCTTTCAAATTTAAATAAAGTTTTTTTATTTTACAACATTTACTTCATGTTGATTTTTTAAATTTTTGCAATGCTTGGTTAGTATAAATTTAGTGCAATGTTCATTTTCAACACCACCCAGAATGCATCTTTTTTCATGTAGAAACATCAAAGATAAAATGCAACCTTGAAAAAGGCTTTAAACTGTAAACAATTAAATATCACAAAAGTGGCCAGGTATGGTGTTTTCTTTGTCTCTGTTGGTGTTAGCGAGTACCATTTTTATAATTGTAAATTTAATAAATGTAAATACTTTGTAAAATTTTATTGTATTTTGGATATTAGATATTATTTGTTATTATAACTTTACTAATTTAGATATTTGTAATTCAGCCGCAAGGCTGCAATTAATATTTTAACAAACTACTTACTTACTTACTAATATCTTCAATGCCACACTAATCTGCAGAATTGAAGTAGAGATTCCAGGTACAGACTTTGATCCAAAATTTCTTGTCTTAGTTTTCCATCGAGGAAAGTGAAAAGAGATATATGGATTAAAAATATACGTCGTGAGGGTTGGCATCCAGGCAAAACGTCTTTCATTTGTTCAGACCACTCTAAAGAGAGCTTTATTGATAGAACTCGGCAAATTGTTAGACTTAGAAGTGATACAGTGCCCACTAGATTCAAGAAGTTCCCATAACAACTCAAAAAGATAAATTATTGCAATTAATTGCATGCAGTATTTTCACTGAATCTATGATAAAATTTTCTATATTAAACAAAAATTTACATTACTTTACACTGAAAGGTTGTAAAGAAGCGTAAAATGCTATTTCCTCGACTGACAGTAAGTGAACCTTAACATAATAAAATTGATATATCCAATCTTGGAGAGGCTTCAACTCTTCACGAGCAACAAGATGTGGATAATGAGCCTCCTGAAAAACAATTTTGCTTGGATTCCACATTACAAGGCCAGTCCATACAAGAGATGCAACAGCAACTTGATGCCAGTAATGTGAAAGTGTTGACTTTGAAGATAGAATTAAAAACCTTGCAACAGAGAACTCGACGCCTGAAAAAGAAAGTGACATCCTTACCGCAAATTGTTACAAAGTTAAGGCAAAACAACTTGATCTCATCCAATTGTGAGGAAATGTTAAGTCAGACCTTTTCTGGAGTACCATTAGCAGTGATGAAAAAAATGTCCACCAAAATATCTGGAAAGGGATCCAAATACAGTTCACAACTAAAGTTCTTTGCACTTACATTGCAATTTTATTCTGCCAAGGCATACGTGTTTGTCAGAAAGACATTTAGTCCGTGATCTGTGACCCATTTTCTTTCATTCCCGTTGGACACCGCAAGAAAGGTCGTGAAAAGCTTAAGACAGTAAGACTTTTACATGCTTAATACAATTTTACTTCTTGTCATCTCCAAAAAGCTGCAGTTTTATTGCTACATTACCTTGAAATTTTAAAATTTGTAGCTCATTACAATTTCGGAATCCGCCATTATTTCAACGAAACTTCATGTAATTTATATTTTGTGTGCTTGTGCCAGACCTATAAAAGAGCTATTCCACTCGGTTAAATTGACAACCTGAGTAAGATTATTAAAAAAAATAAATATTTGACACGTGCATTAGGTTGGATTTAACAATTTTCGCGAAGATGATATTTTGAAAGTTATAAGAGTATTTTGCAAGACAAGGCGCCCTTTATCTAAAGGTGCATTGTCACGCAGTTGCGACTGCTAGCGAGTAAGGATGGGGACGATTTTCTTTCAATTTTTTGACTTGTAGATGTTCTAGCTATTTCATATGCCTTTCATTACTGGGAAAGTTTATTGCACAACAGAAAAAAATGAAATTCATTCTTCAGGTGGTGAGCTTCTGGTATTTCTTCATATGCTACCCTCGATACAGTCGACATAGTAGTCTGAAGCTGCGCACAGATTAAAGGCATTACGCCAACATAACAGCACAAGCCAGCGCTGGGGGAATGGTCATCCATACAATTTGCAGTTTCCCATGAATTTTTTGCCACCCATTTTCATCCGGAGGAGGAATATCCATTTGTGGTTGTAAACAGGAATGCCAAATCGCCGCTTGGTAGTTTGACCAACGAATATGTTGAAGCAAACTGTCACAAGTTGGTGGTAGTTGCTCATCTGAACATTTTCCTGCCTTGAAAAATGAGAACCGACATTTGTTGACGTCCTCAGAATTCTTGTCACCGTACAATAAACAAACAAATCTATTTAGTTGAAACACAAGGTCTTCCTTCTGACGGGGGAAATGCACTTCCTAAGGAACTAAATGAGTTCAAATATTTGTGGTTACGTAGAAGAATGTTCCACGCTGTCTTTTTGCCCTTTCCATAAAAAGAACTGGTGGTGTCACACATCCTTAAAAGAAAATTTTGAAAATATTGATTACAGTATACTATTCTTTCACTTATTATCATCTTAACAAAAGAAAACTAATGACAACATTGGTGTTATAGAATTACCAGTAAAGGCATGGAAACCTAGCAAGCCTTGACTAAGATTTTCCTCACTTTTTTCTACAATAGCTTGTATAGAAATCAAGCTAATATGTTGTATTTTAGCATAAACTGTTTCATCAAACACAAGGACAGCTTGTTTCAAACGTAATTTTTCAATTATTCTCATGACAGACTTTAGCACTTTGTTTAGAGTTGAGTATTCTGTTGGGGAGGCATCCACTATTGCAAGATAACTCTTGACACATTAGGTATGGTATCTTTTTGCAGTATAGTGTTGAACTCGGAAAATCCCAGCCAGAGGTTGCCTTCATCAGTAGTAAAATATTGTATCACGCAAGATTTAGTTTTCGACACTTGAGAGTGAAGTCATTGCTCTCCAGAGGCGGCATAACTGACTTGTCTAGGGTAGATCCATCAAATGTAGGAGTTTTCTTTGTAGAAATACCATAAGGTGCAATAGCTAGTAGAGGTGCTACTACTGTACGTTGGTTTTTCTTAATTGGTACTTGGCATTCTCTTGTAGGGCATTGAAGCTTGTGAAACGTTTCCGGCACAACATTTTGGATGATGATACCTGTTTTAAAGAGGAACATGTCAGACTATCAAAAAGCTTTTAGAATAAAAAAGCTTTCCATAATTTGAAACTGTTCTAATTTAGACTGGTAATATGACTGACATACCATTTGTCGCATGTGTTTGTTTTGTAGCATCTTCTTGGAAATTGATATTGTCATACACAAGGGTGATATGCTTTCCCTCTACAAAATCTTTGGGGATAATGTTCAAACTATTAATTGTCAATTGGGCAATAGCTGATTCATAAGCCATGGTTGATAGTAAAGATACACAATTACCAAGACCATTAAGTAGTGTAATTAAGCTGGAGCAACCAGACATTTGTCAAACTGCCATGGCTAATGACAAAGATTTTGGAGTCTGCACTTTCCCACATCTGAAAACATATATCAAATCTTGGCAGATAGAAAATACCTTGAGAGCTTGCTTTTCCTGTATTTGAACATAACCAGCTCGTTCTGGCTCATTAGAAAAGCCAAGCAGCCATGCAATTAAGTTAAATACCATTGGTGACACTATTTTTTTCACGCTCTCATCATCATCATCTTGCGGCCTCAGCCAAGATTGAACTCACCAAATCTTTCCAGTATTCTCTATCTTTCATAGCTGCTAACAGATTTTCCTTAGGAATTATTGTGTCTCGTCTTATCCTATCTGGAAAGGTTAACTTGCGTGATCTATTCTCAGATGATGGGTGTCTCCAAAGTACAAATGATGACACTAGTTCATCAGTTGCACGTGCACAATGGCCTGCGAACTGAACACGTCTCTTACAAACTAAGTTTGATACTCTTGGTAGGTCTCCATATATTGTTTCTAAAGTTGGGTGGTTTTGCTAAGAGAGATTGAGGACTCTTCTTAAGAGACATGTATAACATCCATCTAAGCGCTGCTGTTGTTTGGCTGAAAGAGTCCAAGTCTCAGAACCGTACAATAAGATGGGCTCAAAAAGAATTCGAAAAATTTGGATTTTAAATTTCCGATCAAGGTTGGATTTCCAGATCTTATATCCAATTGGTTGCAGGCAGTCCATGCAATACCTTTTCTGATGTTTAAGTCTTTCTCTGAGTTCTTTATATGTGATCCTAGATACTTGTAGTCTTCAACACATTTCAGAATATTTTCTGACAGTGTTTTGATCTCCTGATTGTTGCAGATGTTAACTGGCATAAATTCAGTCTTGGTTTCATTGAGATGAAGACCTGCACAGTTGTCTGCTGACTCAAGAGAAGAAAGGAGAGATTGGGCAACTTGGAGATTGTCAGACAGCAATGCAATGTCATCAGCAAAATCTGCATCAGTGATGTAGAGTGCAGGGTAGCGTGAGCTTTTTCTAGGCTGATACTTCAGGCCCTTTTCATTGATAGAATCTACTGACTCATGCATGTGTAGTCTATCACAATTATAAAAAGGAATGGTGCCAGTGTGTCACCCTGGAGAATGCCAGCCAGGATATCAAAGGGATCTGTTTCACCATCTGGGATCAGGACAGTTGCTTGTGTGTTAGTATACAATACTTTGATAGCATCGATGATTTCTCCTGGTATGCCATAGAGTTCAAGAATTTCAAACATGGTATCGCGGTTAACTGAGTCAAAGGCTTTACTGAAGTCTACCAAGATGAGAGCTGCAGTTTTATTGCAAAAAGTGATTTCCTCAATTATTCTACACAATGTGAGAATTTGCCCAAGAGTGGATCGGCCTGGGCGGAAGCCATTTTGATTTTTGCGCAGAATAGGTTCAACTTCAGAGCGGATTCGGTTCAAAAGAAGCTTATAATAGATTTTTGCAGCTATAGGAAGCAAGAAGATACCGCGATAGTTAGTTGGCAACGTCAAATCACCTTTTTTGGGTATGGGAATGATTTGTGATCTTAACCATATGGTTGGTGAAATATGGCTGGTCTTTGCATAATTGCAGAGATCAAGAAGTAATTGATGAAAGATTGGGTCTTTCCAGAGGATAGCAGGTATCTTGTCTGGTCCGAGAGTATTTTTCATTGGTTTCTTAAAGACATATTTTAACTCTGCGCTTGTAAAAGGGCGTGTTGATATGTTTAAGGTTTGACTGACTCGAACTTTCGGAAGTGACATATTATCTGGAAGACTTGCGGGACTGCCCAGGAGGCTTTTAAAATGAGAGTGCCAGTTAGCAACTCGTTGTTCTCGGCTGCCACCCTTGACTGAAGGTGGGGGTTGTAAGCCTTTTCCCGCTAGTTGGTTTCTGGTCTTCCAGGCTGCAGAGTGTTGTTGATTGATAGGAAGATGAGAAATTTTGGCTATTTCTCCTTTGATGTTAGCTTCTTCTCTACCTCTAGATAAGCTAGGTCGAGGGACTTCTTGGCTTCTGCAATCTTCTTTTTGTTACTCTGAGAAGGGTTGCAGTGATTGGTTGATGTGATTTGTTTGAGCTTCTCACGAGCATCAACAACTTTTGAGTCTAAACTTGCTGGTTTCTTTTGTGACTTGTGCTTTTTGGGGAGTGTAGATAGTGCAACCTCCTCATTTGCCTTAATCAGATTTCCGTAGATCAAGTCAATGTTAGTTGAATCTAATGAAACTTCTGCGCTAGACTGAGTGAGTTCTTGGAATCTGTTAAACACGTTTACAGCTCCAACACGCTCTCCAAAGTAATATCAGAAGCTAATGGAGGCCATGTACCATACCAGGATACTGGATTCGTGGATTCTAATTCCTTTCTTAATGAAATGCAACATTATATATTTCATGCAACGTAGTGCCTGCCCGGTATACTTTATCTGGCAAGAACTGTTCAGGTTCCTCACCATCATCGGAAGTTTCTGTTTACACTTCATCAGCAAAAGGAATATTCTCTACCATTGAACTGAGTAAACCATCTCACTTGGTTGAATGCAACCTGAGTAAACCATCTCACTTTTGTTACGCTGTTTAGGGGTTTGAAATATTACTTGTGGAAACCGTTTTTTCATTCGTTGCTTTAATCGACTTGTTGTATAATTTGTTGCATCTACATTTTCACCACGTGCAACAAATTTAACAAACTTTTCTTTAACCTTTGCCATGTAGAAAATACTTTCTTCTTGTATTATGTGCATATTAATGAACTCTTCACAAAATGCATTAAACCCTTCATTGTATAATGGTTTTTGAGTAGATTTTTCACATTCAGCAGGGTCAACTTTATGGTGTTTGAGGAGTGAAGTGTATTTTTGATAACATCTGTGATGATACTTTACTTCTAAAGCAACAAAGTCTTTTCCTCTAATGTGTACCAAAATACTTTCATCACCCATAAAAATTGTGTGAAAACTGATATAGAATTAGCATAAAAAAATATTCCACATAATGCTTTAAATTCACAGCAGTGGTGGCGCCAAGAATTCCCCGACAGAGGGGCTTAGGTCCCTGATGGGGGGACTCACTTACTTGGCTTGTGTGACAATGCGCTTTCCATGCAAATCTTTCTTTTTTCAGAGAAAATTTCAAAAAATTATTATAAATCCTTGCTTTAACATAACTTATGAAACATAGTTTGTTTAAGAAATAACAATTTACATCTACAAGAAAAATTAACATCACCTAATAGACTAGTAACAGACTAGTTGTTAGAGCCGCAACTAGAATGCTAATTTGGGAGATGATGGTGTTTACTCATGTATTCAGTTGTGGCTGATTTGAAATTTAAGCAGTAGAGGGTTTTTGCAGTTTTTTTTGCAAAAAATTCCCTATCCAAATTCGAAAATAGAGTTGCAAATAACAACTTCTGCCCCCTTACTCTAGTGCCACCCGTGCGTGATTCACAGCTACGTTTACCTACCGTGTCAGTGTATTATGAATGCTCTTTCTTGCAAATGACACAGGTTGGAGGTAACACGTGCTGGCTCTTTGCCTTAATTCTTTCACCAGTGAATGATTTTGATCGCATTATCTTTTCTGGAGGTGGTCCTTCCTGCTGTACAGACGTAGAAGGCTCGGTATCGGTTGACGTTTTTGCACTCTTTTCAGAGCGTCGTTGTGCTCGATGTATTAAAGTTTTATTCGTAAATGTTGAATAACAACGTGAATGGTAAAAGTAATGCTCCTAACTTCCCAAGTTATCCTCCAACTCCTCGATAGGAATCACATTCGTGGTTTTCAAGGCTACGTCTTTCTGTCGTCCATCAAGTTGTAGCCATTGCTTTCTTCATTCCAGGAACCGTTTAAACGATGTTGGTATAAAATTCGTCAGTGTTCCGCCGTCATCTTCGCAATGAATCAAACACGAATGCCTTTCTTCCATGTTTATTAACAAAACATTGGCGCTATTTTCATGTATGAATTTTAAATGAAGCTATGTTGTGTATGCTACATGAAGTTCCGCACCAAAAAACTGGCGATTTTCGAAACTAGAGCTTTTGAGGCACAGATCACGGACTAATTCAACCTAGCTCCATTAAAATGTAAATGCTCCATTAAATGATCTATTACTGTATAAGTTCAGTCAAAATCACCTTGAGCTATTCTTTGCTGCTGTTCGTTTTTCAAGAGGGTTTAACAACAATCCTACTTCGGATCAATTCACAGCGAATCCCAACAAGTCACATCCAGGGAAGAAAAGGCAATTGTGAAGCACGAGATGCCACTGAAATAATTTCTGCAGTTGGCAACTCTTCAAAAATCAATGGCAAAACTGTCACAATAATAAGTGCAGCACTTATACGAAAATATGATTTGCAGGAAATGGTCCCAATGAAATCTGATCATGACTACAGTGATGCACCAAACTTTGCTAACTTGTCAGAATATAAAGAAGCTGCCATCTCTTACATCAGTGGATATGTTGCAAAGTCAGTTCACAAGAAAACTCTTTGTGATGAATGCTCCAATGTCCTAGGATCTCAAGAAAGCACTGCTCTATCATCCGAATTCTTGAAACTAAAAGAAAATTATTTAGGCCTTCCCCTAGTGTTGTCATTATTTGTAATGAAAGTGAAAAGTGTTTTCAGCGAATGCTTGCAAGTAATTCAGAAAGGCTTCTTCATAACACAGGCATACCTAAGGCTATAGCAACAACTGTGTTGGGAACTTTAAATGTGTCTTCTCTTTTTCCAGAACTAGAGGACCATATATATAATCGGCAGTGGATGACAATCATGTTTATTTACTAATAAAAAAATTGTAAATTGCTATTGTAAAATACGGTTTTACCATTTAGGTAAAGAGACGACACAGAACAAATCTGGCGATAAAGTTCACAAAAAGCTCAAAAAATTGGTTCTTTTCAAGCATCAATGAGTGAAGAATAAGAAAATTAAACCAGATTCACCAACAGATCAACAAAAAATCACCCATGTCACCGATTATTTATATACATAACATATATATCTTTAACGCAAAACTAAGCTTATTTTGGCGGCACGTTCTTGTAGAGTCATGTAATTTATATTATTAATATAATTATAATGAAATATTTCGATGTAAGTAATATATAACTATGTTTTTACCTTTAAAGCATTCAAAGACTTTAGTCATGTTCACTCGACTCAGCGTTCAATGGTTTACTTCCATAAACTCTTTTTACACCGTATTTACTGTTTTTGTGCCAAAGTAAACATGATTTTTCGTCCAAAACCGTTCTTTTATAGTCCTGTCATCATATTTAATCTTTTTTTGTGCCGAAAGTAAAACATATGATCCAAAAGAAATGCGAGAATCGCAGTTAGTTATATAAAACGTATATAACGGACCTGAATAAGGTCGGCGTTAGATCATAGGTGAGATATGCACATATACGAAACTGCGCTTAATGTTGGTCTGCGGTATTCCACAGTGACTCTTTCCATGTAAATCGCGAATAAGCGTTATGCGTCCGTGGATTATTCGGTTTTTTGTACCGTTTTGTATATTGTATTATATTTATTGGTTTTCTCGTATATATATATATATGTTGCAACACAAATTTAAACCATGATCGAATTCAAAGATTGTTCTTGAACTACAAGGTTGGTTTACGAAATTTTATCTTGTTTACAATAACATCTATCTGAAAGACAAAAGTATGGTTGAATAACATTGGGAATCGAGATAATTTCAACCCACATATGGAAATAAACCTTATTTTGCAATGAAACATTTTTCATTGCAATCATTATTCTCACGATTTGCTGATTTCAAAATGTTTGTTATATTAAATTTTAGTTATTCTAGTGCCATGTTTTTCTAAATTATGCATCAAACTTCTTAACTTCCTCTGTTCATTAATTTTGGATTGTTTACAAGAAGCTTGCTATGATCATTTGATATAATGTTTTAAGAGGTTTTCCAAAAGTATAAACTGGCATGTAAGAATCATGATATTACATAAACCAAACAACAATGGTTTAGCTCTAACAGGTTATATAATTTGTTAATTTTTAAAATTACAAATTTGGTAGGAAATTCCTTATGAAGTTATGACGTTTATATTAATTGTATGACACCAATATACATGAGATTATGATATTTATATTAATATATATTAATATTTTCAAAGGAGCAGTACATCATTAATCATTAACCCTTCTGTGCAACAGATGGTAATAAAAAAACAGAAATTTGAGTTATTTTTGCATAAACACTAGTTATCAAACTAACAAGTTGTCCATAGTGAAAAAGATTGTAATCTTGATGAACTGTATGGTATATATTGCAAATTGCAAACACCTTAGTTTTCACCTAATCCCGCAAACTGTTTTCAATTTGTTCATGTATTTGGCTACACAGCCTATTACACCTTTGCAGTTCAAAGATATGTCTAAAGTCAGGAATCTGGGAAACTTAGATGCACGATTTCTTATGAGATGTTACTGTTTATGATGTCATTTTGCTAATATGTGTTAAAAAATGTTCTTTAATAGTTACTAACCTACATGATTATTTAACTTGTTCCATACATATATTAGAAGAAAGAGCTGAACTTGTCAAATTATTTTATATGTGCACAATATTTACACAGCTAAGCATCTCCTTGAACAGGGATCTTAATGAAATTTACAGATAGTCACATACTGCATTACTTATAAAAATTTGTAATTCTTAAGATTTAATAAACTGTTGTGAAACAATTCAGAAAGAAAAGGAAGAGCTCCTCTTTAGAAAATTTAGCAAGATACTTCACAATATGAACATAAGAATGGTTTATCTGTTACTAATGCTGTACTTTGCTTTACAGAAAGTTTGATGCAATTGTAAGGAGGTTGATGATGATACCAATTCTTACAGTTATTGCAGTAAACCATTTCAGCTCCAGGGATATGCGAAAACAAACACAGTATACACTGATGACGTAATGACTTAGTGTACAAACTGCAGAATTCACACGATGTGGAAACATTTCCAATTTCTTTTGCTTGAAACATTTCATCAAATGGGTACGCATATCTTGCTGTAACCACGAAATCTTGCAAGGGTCTATCCCCTGAGCAAGTGCGACTGCATTTGCTATGCTAAATAGGCCACAGTCAGATCCTCCCTTCTGACGCTGTTGAAGTACCACCGTAACGTCAAGTGAGCCATCGTCAAGACAAAGTCCTTTGTACAAATTAATGATTTGCCGTCTCAAAGAAGCATTCAAGCTGGTGTTTAGACTTTCATAGACAATGACTTTTCCTGTGATGGAGCTTGACGTGACCCAGTGTAAACCAGTATTATGGCATTGAATGGTTTGATTTTGCTCATGGGGGAGCGCGAATCTACTGGAGTAAGTCATTGTCACAATGGAATTAAGGCCACCAACATTTGTTTCCATGTTTTTGATGAGATGTTGTGCAGCATCAACATGGTCGTCAGTTAGCCATCCGCAATTACTCGCCAATATTTCTTTTTGCCGATACGTCAATCCAATGCCGTTGATCTTTACCCAGCAGTCATGAGGATTGATTGTTTCTTCTGAAAAATCCCTTCTTTGTTTTTTTACTTTTTTTCCATGTGATAACTCACTGTGTATATTCCTCTTTCTTTCCTCTTTTATTCCACCATCATCATCTATTAGAATTGTTTTGCTCCTAGCTTCAGCAACTGCACCAACTCTTTTACTAATTTTTTTTTTCGCTCTCTGCTTTAACTGGCGAGTTTTTGTCTGCTTTTGGAGCCTGTGTTTTTATCACCTGTTTTTTTTTAGGTGACAAAGACTTGTCTTTCAACGATACACCCTCTTCATTAGGATGATTCTTCCTTGTGTACGCAATTATTTCGTCAAGCATAACCAGGGCTTTACTCAGAACGTTCCTATCTGTAACCACATACAGTTCATCTTGAAGACTCTTCAATGATTGGATGCATTGCTTACGTATGTTAGACTTTCTCCGGTAAGAAAGGTTTCTATTATTTGATTTGCTGACATGTATTACCTGATCACTATCCTTTTCTCTATTATGTGTTGCTCAGGTGTGTATTCTGAATTTGACGATGGTTTTGTAGCGGAAGAGGAAGACCGTTGAGTTATCACTTTATCCAAAGTAAACAGGGGTACTTGTCGAATTTTCTGCCCAATGATTCCCACCCTATGTCTGGCTGTTGAACAACTGCGCATATGTGCTTGCAGAGAAGTTTCTTTGTTCGAAAGTCGAGACACTGACACGATGGTAACTCTTCGTCTGAGCCAAGCCTTACTTGGTATGCGCATTCTGCTCCTTGTACGATGAAAAGCTTTGGAGTCTCTTTTTTAATGTTTGAAATCTGGATGCCAGAGTCGATTCTACTGATGATATGTTGAACAACACCTCTGGGTCGGTCGTGGAGATACTTTGGAACACGATCATCGTAGCCTCGATATGATGACGTACATCGAATGTTTTGCTCTTTGTATCTATGTAAAATTACCATACGTACATGAGAAAACTTACAAAATTTTAAAGAAGACGATCATAATCAAGTTGTACAAATTCTCAAGGAGCGGATATTGTACCATCACTTACTTCTTGTAACTATCAGGTAAAAAATGGTTGATTATTACGTCAACCAGATCAGACACCGAGTTATTTCGTCTACTTTCGAGATATGAGTGCTTGAGCCAGTTATTTTGTCTTTCGATACCATTGTTTGTATAAATTGCAATACGAAGATGTTCATCTCGAAAAAAGCGAACCCATTTCTAAAGCATAAAGTCAGTAATAATGCAACAAATACTTTAATTTAAGTATGGTGGTAAATACATTCATAACTATATTTATAACATAATAGACAATGTACGTCTGAAGGGCATATAAGCATGTGTGTTTTCCTGGGAGCATAATTTATTGTTCCTTCTTGGTATTGTGAGTCTTACCTCTAAGTATAAACCCGAAAAGTCTAAAAAATAGTTTTGTAGTTGGACTGATTCCTTCCATGGCCTGCTTTTTTGAGTGCCTGGATGTTCTCATCAAGAGTGGCTTGGTTTTCACTCTGGGCGATGTTTCGCAAGTGCCTCAACACTTCATCTTTATACATACTCACACCATTACTACTTTTAGATAACCATTCACCCCAGGCTTTTTCGCGGTGAAAATCGCACACGTGGACATGCGTTTCTTAACAATTAGAAAGAAAATGTTTTTAAAAATTTGTAAAACTAGGGGGTAACATTTTATGATTGACAGTGCAAAATTATTTTATTTTAGATAACTACACAATCACACGTCGCTCTTTCATGAGTACAACGAATTCATTAACATGGCAGTAAGTGTTTTTATTTGAATGAGTTCCTTATGTCCACCAATGATTGTGTTTTGTCATATATATGGCTATTCTTTCTTACTAGGAAAACACTCTTCAATCGCGGAAATTTCTGCCAGTGAGAAGTCCACCATCATGTTTCTGGGGTTCCACTCCGGATTTTCCCTGCTCAATATTCGGAGTACCTCGGATATTGAGCCAGTGTCTTCATTTTCTGGAATAAAAACTGCGACGACAATGTATCCAACATTTGATCTGACGCATAAAAGAAGAGTGGCAAGGCGTACCTATCACAATGGAAAATGTGTTCACAGTTTTTTCCTGCTTGAATAGTATTTGCATCACATCTCTTTACCTGCATGTTCTGTATGTAGCATCCATGAGACACATCTCCTGCCCGTACAATAATAATAGGCGCTTCATCCACTTCGCTTGATACACAAATAAAAAGTGCTTTTACGTGTTTTCATCTTCCGCCGTCAATGGCTGTTAAATAAGTAAAAATTATACAACTGGAGTTAATATGGCAAGTTTTGTTAGCGCAAGGTAGACAATGATACATTACCCTGTAAAAGATAAAGTCTTCGGGATGTAACTCATGCCACTCAGATAATTTTGTCTCCAAATTTAATTGGTCATCTGGAGATCTTTGTTTTCCAGATCGGGTTGCATTTAAGATGTTCCTTATATCGACGTCTGTTGGATAATAACGGCGGCTTGACTCAGCTGGCAAATCTTTACTATTGAATAAATGCCCATTTACAAACTTTTCCAAATGCCGACGTACTTCGGCAACACTGCGGACACCTATGACTTGCATTTCTTTTATTTTTTGCACTACTTGTGCATCTATTGGCTCTCTCAAACCTGCTACCTGTGTTTATTGGAAATTTGGGTATATTTTGTTTACTAAAAATGTAGCCGTTTTTTTTATCTTAATTAGTGAAGATTTTACCTCTCCTTCCGTCACATGATATTTATGACTATCCATACTTGGAAGCTTCAAGAGAAACGTATCTTCAATAATCAGATTTTCCCACGATTTCAACGCGTTTTCAGTAAGGATGTTCTTTCTTGCATTTTTCTTCGTGGTTTTATAGCACCAGAGGAAACCTCAACCTAAATTGTCATATTACATTAAAGAACGTGGGATTTAATACTTCAGAAATTTTAAGTTTGCTGTTGAAAACTAGACATCAGTTTGACTTAAGTATATGAACCGAATTTTATCTTACCTTGTACTGTGGGAATTTAAAAATCCGTGACATATATACTTTGCTCGGACATCCAATTTTTTTGGTAGGTTGAAAATGTTTTTTCCGTTTTCTAAACGTGTGATCGTGACCCTAAAAAAACAAACGACAAAAATATGTTAGAACAAAGAACCAGGGCTGTCACTGGTAAATTTGTGAAAATGTGTGTAGTAAAAGTGACGATATAGAGTTGTAAGTACCTCATTTTCATCTCTTTCCTTTGCTCTTTTTATTTTCGTACTTTTATCAATATCTTCACCTTGATGACAATGATAATTCAATGTTCCAATACAAATAAATGGAATTCCATCAAAGGCGTATGAAATTCCATCTGGATTGGAAAGGCTCCATTGCACCCTTGACAAAGACTTTCCAGAATTCATCACCTCTTTAATGGTTTTGCCTTGAAAATATGAGCCCTTTGATCAGTATTAATCTCTCAAATTGCAGAATTATTGATAATAAACTACAATAATAATTAGCAATGAAAAAGTGTATCATTTGTTCATTCATGCTTTATATAATTGCAACAATCGAAATCTCGGACGGCACGATTAAATATAATATATTGTATGAATTCTGACGTGAAGTTATGTGATTATTGTAGACATTACAATGATTACATACTTACCGAAAAGTGCATTTGAACTCACACATCTCCATCCCGAGCGCGTGTCTTTTTTGTATTCCTCAAAATTTTCCCATATGTCTTTCTGCCATGAAAACATTTTAATCGAAGAACAGCACGAGTCCATTGTTGTTTTTTAAAAATTCGCGGTGAAAGCGCGCAATCTTAAAGAGTTCTGGGTGGATTGTTACTGCTGACCGCAATTAAGCGCAGTTTCGTATATGTGCATATCTCACCTATGATCTAACGCCGACCCCTGAATAAGTGGACAGTACAATATGGTCGCCGCCTGGCTTCAGGTCAGGACCAGTGGACTCTACAATTCACTGGTCATTTCACTGGTCAGGACCTAAAGGCCGATCTCCACTTCGACCGTATCGTAGCGTAACGTAGTAAAACGTAACGACGAGCATGCGCAGTGTCACTATCACTGAGGACGATTGATATCGAACGTGTCCAAATTTTTAATACGCGTATCAAAATCAGAGTTCGCCGACTGTCAACATTTTTGAAACGAATTCGTAGTACGTTTGATTTGAACCAATGAAATAACAAGTTTTCCACTCAAGTTGGCTTGTTTTTTTTCAAAATGGAGTCGTTTGAGGAATGGCAAGACAATATTAACGAATTTTCCAGAGCAAAAGAAAACTCAGAGGCATCTGTAGCGGAATCTTTCAATAGAAGTAACAGCGAATCTTCTGCTCGCGCTATAAATGTACAAGAACCTCCATTTTTGATTAACTTAATCGAAGAAGTGCGAAAATACCCTTGCATCTGGAACGTTTCGTCAAAGTTGCATAAAGACAAACCAAGGAAACTGGAAGCACTGCGACGAATTTCTGCTGCTTTGTGTGTACCTGGTATGTTATCTTAACAATATACATTGCTTAAAATTTTGGAACCTAAAAGAACAAGATACCTGGTTTTCATAAGCACAAAATCCTTAAATTTATAAAACAGGTAAAACTCTGTAATAAAATACAGTAGCCATTTATGTAATCACTACAGTTCTTGGTCCAGCTTTTGCAATTGAAGTGTGTCCTACATTTACTACTGAGTGTGAAAATTGTATTGCTATTAACTGCCACTTGTTGAGTATAAATTTATGTCTATTTAAATATGTTTGATGAGAAATATCTAGTTATGTGGGTTTTGCTTTCTTTTATTCAATACTTCAGTTTAGAAAACTTATACAACATAGCCATTATGAGTAAAAATAAGCAAGCAGTACATATTACACCTTCTATTTATTAAAACATTATATTATTCAAATGTAATACTCACCCATGCAATTATCACAGTGACATGACACTGATCATCAATATGCCAGTTAATTAATAAATGATAGTATTAAATGAGCTTTAAATTGAAGTTGATATTCATGGATAAGTATAAATATGTCCATTTTGCAACCTTAAATATTAAATTTAGTGTAGCTCACTATTTTTTTCTGCATTGTACCTGTAACCATCCTTATATTGCAATTTCCTTATGATACTCTTCTTACATTTTGTATATGGTGCAAACCATTCCCATCCTAAGAAGGTCTTGTCTGGTGTTAGACTGTAAAAATACTGGTGCATTCCTTCTTATTGGGGTCAAAACTAAGTCAATTGGCATGGGCCATAGCTAGAGAACTATATTGGGAGAGGGGAGGTTTTTTTTTTCATATATTTATTTGACCTTGACTGATTTCTTTAGAAACCCAAATCATTTTCAAAAGAAATCAGTCTGACGCTACTGAATATAAGAATAAACACACCTCCCCCTCCTCCATTTATTGTTTTAGCTATGGCTCTGCAATTGGCTACTAAACAACTATGTTTATGAAGGGCATAACATCTTCTAACAAATGCACTGAACAAAGTTTGATATACAGGTTTTTATTTTTCTAAATCTAGAGAATGTAGTTTGCAAAGAGTTTGACAGGTTGAAGAATAATTATAGAAGATGCATTAAAAAGCGAGAGTTGGCGACACGATCAGGGAGTGGGGCAAGTAAGAAATTGCCAACTTGTGAATATTTCGTTGAGTTGTCCTTTTTGCGTGATGTGATAACTGGACGAAAAACTGAAGCCAACATCCCAATTGAAATTGCCAAGAATCCTGACGTGCTCTCCACCGATGAGGATAGACCATTTACATCATTTTCACCAATCACTGTGGACAATTCCCATGCAAAACTAGAAATTTCAGACGCAAAACCTCTTCAAAAGACTCGGAAAAGGACTCGATCAGATCAGATTGACGATCTTTTGGCCTTAAGCCTAGCCAATGATATAGCATATGCTAACAATGGTGATTCAAAAAAGACAACTAACCCAGAAGACCAGGAAATTTTTTTCTGTTCCAGTTTGGTTACTATCTTTATTAATTTGACTGGAAAGAAAAACAAATTGGCCAAGATGAAAGTATTGCAAGTTCTTGCTGAGTTTGAAGATGATGACGAAATGTAACAGAATGTTATTTCCATAAACTTTTTCAAGAAATTTATTGTTACAAATAACTTTACGTTTGCATGCGTTAACTACCACGTTATGTTATAAAAACAGTGACAAAACTAATAAATGATTTTTTGATTTAGTTAATCGTCGTTTTGAAAACAATCTACTGTAGCATGTACTGCGTTCCACTGCCAGCGAACTTGTCCTTTTGGGGACATGAAGTAGTTTTTAAAATTTTCTCTAACAAGCTTTGCATCACGAGAGTAGTTGTTTGATCCAGCTTTGCTGACATCTCTTAAACCCTTATCTGATTGTGTCACTTTTCTCCATTCTCCAAGCTCTCTTCCGTTTTCTGTGTCGTTGTCCACGAAACCAGCTGAACAGTATTTTGTGCTGTGCGAAAAAGACCTTCCAGCCATAAGATAATTGTGCAGAGCGATTACTGCTTTTGTAACTTGAATAACCATTTCAACTCTGTCGTGAAATGGTCGACGAAATACCCGAAATCGCGCTGCTACAATTCCAAATGCACTTTCAATTACCCTCTTCGCTCGAGACAACCGATAATTGAATACCCGCTCAGATATTCCCAGAGCTTCTCTAGGGTACGGTTTCATAATATTTTGCTGTAACTGAAACAACTGCCAACGCTCTATATTCAGCTTCTGCAGTCAAGAATGCTACACAGCTTTCTTTGTTGCTTTTCCAACTTACTGCAGCACCGTTCATTAGAAAAATATATCCGGATGTTGATTTTCTATCGTTAATATCTCCACCCCAATCTGCATCAGAAAATCCAACGCAGTCCAAAGTTGTTTTGAGTGTGTAATGTAAGCCATAATCGAATGTTCCTTTCAGATATCGGAAGATTCTCTTTACTGCTGTCCAATGCTCTTGTGTAGGATTGGAACTGAATTTTGCGACATTGTTTACTGCAAACGTTATATCAGGACGTGTAGCCGAAGACAAATAGAGTAAACTACCAATTAATGACTGATATTTGTGTTTATCAAACATTTCACTGTGTATTTCATAAGCTTCGAACACGATTCAACAGGTGTTCAAACTTGTTCAAACTTGTATTCAAACTTGCTTAAAATGGTTTTAGTGTAGGTAGTTTGTCCCA